ATATATTATAGTAGTTTCCATTTTCTTTTCCATTATCCCTATATAAACCCTCTATAACCCCAATATATTATAGTAGTTTCCATTTTCTTTTCCATTATCCCTATATAAACCCTTTTCAAGGATTTTCCGCAAGGCTGTAAGGCTGCAGGGCTTAAAAGTTTACACCAGGCATTCGCCAATGGCTGAGGCCGCTGCGTAAATAAATGACGGAGCCGGCCTCGGCTGTTGAAATACACAGCAAAGTCTAACTTGGAAGCAGCATGGTTCGGCCTAGGCTGAGACACTGAGCTCAACGCAAACAGAGGCCTGTTGCTGGAGAAGTGGAACATGACGTTGCTCATTTGGTTGGGCATGTTGTTGGTGTATGCAAGCCTGAATGGCCCCACAGGCTGCGGCTACGGCAATACCAGGACTTTCAACAGTTCCGAGCAGTGGACTTGGTGTATGTGAAGTTGCGGACGTGGGGCACTGCGCTTGATTGTGTGACCTGCAGCCAACAGGAAGAACATCTAACTTGGGCAGGAGCTGCTTTGCAAGGCCACAAGGCGCTTAAATAGGTCTCGGGGCATGGGTTTAGCCAGTTGTTTGTTCTGCCAGCGTCTTCAACCTGGAAACTGTTGAAAGCAACGAGGCGCGTTGAGCCGCACTTTGCAGGCATGCAGCATTCCTTACTGAGTTCTCATGAACTAGCGGGAGTTCGTGTAAATGAAGATTCCCAAAAGATAGAAACAGATTCAGGGACGGGCACCGCGATAGGGGCCGAAATGGAGGGGTTGATTCTGGGGAAATGCCCGACTGACCAAGCTCCAGGCAGGGGTCTCACGCACCACCTCGTCAATGTTATCGAAGGATCGTGCAGACACCTGTTGGCACGTTGGCCCTGCCCTGTGTATGTGTAGAGCACGTGTTGGAGGGCATCTTCCACTTGAAAAGAGGTACGACTAATCATCCCAATATTATCCCTATATGGCAAGCACATAACCCCTATATAACCCATTATGGTATTTTCCATTTTCTTTGCCATTCTCCCAATAGAACTTATATTTCAAAACAAAGGGCAGTGTATGCTACAGACGCTGCAGGCTACGAGAAGCGCACCGTCAGCGTTGGACTGTCAGCTTCCAGCTCGATGGGAAGCTGGAACCTTTGCGGTCGCCGCTGCGCGATGCTATGCGATGCAACTTTAAAGAATTGTGGCAAGGGAGGGGCCTGGTTGAAGTGTTATCATACTGGTTCTTAATATGACATCAGGGGATATAATCCCTATATAGTCCCTAAATGATATATAGATTTATAGTATGATCCCTATATAACCCCTCAATAAACTATAGTAAAATGTTCCTACATTCCCTAAAGGCTTTCAGCAGGACTTCTTTCTAAGCATCCGTCTCACCAGGCTCCGTTGACAAAGTGACCTGGCGGCCTCCATCGAGCACCTTGCGAGAATGGTTGTCTCTTGATATATAGGCCCCCTTAAATAGATAGAATATGGCGTTGGGCAAACTATAATAAGATCCCCATATACCCCATATTCTATCTACTTAAGGGGGATTATAACTCATATTGAGCCCCCCACCCCAAAATGCTACATATTCCCTCGATATTGTAGCGATACTGTACTATAGTATACCACAACAGGAATCTTCAGCATTAGGGTGTGGGGGGTCTCGGGGTCCAATATTAGAGGAGGGGATTGAATGAAAAATATAATCCCTTTGAACCCTATATAACCCCAGTTTCCATTTAATTTTCCAGTTTCTATTCCATTTGATGCTCCATTATTGGGGGACATACCTTAACCCTAAACCCTAAACCCTAAACCCTTAAACCCTAAACCTTAACCCTTAACCCTAGGCTGGCGGCCTTTCCCTCTCTGAGGAAGAAGGTCATCCTTCCCGTCATGGCATCCCACAGCGCAGAGCTTTCGAAAAACATCCAGTCCTGGACAACAGGACTTCTTAAAGGGACCTGTAAGGGTTTGGGGTATGAGGACTAGAGTAGGTTTGGGGGCCCTATGAAATTGAACTCTTATGGCTTTATAAGGGCTATATGTGGATTAAGGGTTATAGAAATACCCCTGAGGACTTGCTTCAGGAGATTAGACCATAGCTCAGACGATACGGCGGCTACTACGTTCCTGCATTACCGTCGGTACCTTATACCTGGGGATCTTTCATGCTATAGACTATAGTCTACCAAGGTCATGCAGGATTTTGGGTATCAACAATAGCTCCAGCTGAGCCTGTTCCTGAAACGAGGATGATTGCTCAGATACGATCTGAGATGCTGTCCGCTCCATCTACACTGTTCGCAGTGTTGAAGTTGACTTCACCGCTCCTTGCAAGTGACGGTGTCTGACTCTATGGGATTGTGAATCTCTTAAATTTCATCCTCAACAAACCTTGACTTAGACCGTCGCACATTGTTCACTCGCTGAACGCTGGGCATGGACAGGATAATGCGGGCACCTCGGAACAGGTGCAGTATGAAGCAAGCAAACCACGCACAAGATCAGATGCATGTCAAACACGCTCAGCAGCTTCGAGGTGCTACGGAAACACGGCCCCTCCCTCTGAACGGCATCACAGGTAAGAAAGCTCTCTGTCGCGTTCAACAGGCAGCGGTGGTGGTGGTAACCGTGGTGTCGTCACTGTAGGCCGTCGGTGCGTCATCTTGTTAGTAGCAGTAGTAGCAGGCATCATTGTCATACTCGAAGCAGTAGTAGTCTAAGCAATAGCGGCAGTAGCAATGATAACGCTACTTCGTCCTATTCTAGCTATAGTAGTAGTCGTCGTCGTAGTCGTCGTCGTACTACCAGCAACACCAGCAGCAGCAGCAGCAGCAGCAGCAGCACCGACACTACTACGATTGTTGCTCGTCCGCCACTTCAAACCATAATGTGTTTGTCTTCCGGGGGCGCGGCATTTTTTAGAGATTGCGGGTGTTCGAGATGGCTTGAGTCAGGGATGTTGTTTGGTGCAGTGTTGCAGTGCCCGGTCATGGAAGAAGTTCCTCCCATGGTAATCGTGGTAGAACTTACAACCAGTTGGCTGTTCTCTCGTGCCAGATATTCATATGATTTGCTATCAACAAATTCCAAGACACACTTGCCTTACACATGTTCGACACAGCATTCTCAGAGTGCACGCTACACTGTGGATAATCCTTTCAAATCAGAATGCTGTAGTAGATGGGTCGCCCTCTGCCTGAGGCGCTCTGAACACAAGATTGAAGTCACATTGCAGTTTCATCTGCAGGCTGCCGCAACAAAAACACTGTAAAACGCAAAAATGCAGGAGAATAGCATAACACGAAAGGGACCGAACAGCAAGAACTTAATCTCAAAGCAGTGAAATTCGAAAGCAATCCTCAAATAGGGCGTGCCTTGGGGTAATCTTGGACCAACCTGTGTCACTTTAAGGCATCAAGAAGGCAAAGAAATGCACCAACCTCAGTGCCTGTCGGCGGAGAGGCTTGTAGGAATGGAAACAATACAACATCAATGGCCGTGAAAGCGGGTCTTCTCATGAGCAACAAGTGCTTGGATAGAGGATGAAAAGCTGTCTCGAAAAGGGGGCGAGCGATAGAGGGATAGAGAGAGAGAGAGGGCACTGTAAAACAAGAAACGAGTGCACATCATGGCCTGTAAGACTCACAGGCATCTTTCAGTGCAGGGGATTTTCACTCGCTGGAAGCGTTAAAGCAAGAAACATGGAAATCTGCCTACTGAACATTCCGCGAATCCTCAAAAGAAGCATGAAAACGAATCTGCAGCACTACACCTGCTAATCCTCCATCTGCTACTGAGGTAGTAGCAGCAAGAGCATCAGAATTGCAAGCTGAGGATGCAGCCTATTACTACTACTATCACTATTATTACTGTTTTCACTATTAGTACTACTATTACTACTATTACCAGTATTACTACTATTACTACTATTGTTACTATTACTACTTTTACTGCTATTACTACTACTACTACTACTACTACGACGACGACGACGACGACGACGACGACGACGACGACGACGACGACGACGATTACTATAATATACTACTATTATTATTAGTCTTGTTATTACTATGACCACATCTGGGGATAGGACGGTCGGACAGCGCGTTGGCCGGCCGAATGGTGAGGTGGATGATGGTGGTAGAGGATGACACCTCAGAATCCCTACCACAAACCCTGTAACGTTGTACCTTACAGGCCATGGCTCTTTACCTATCATATAGCCCCTTCGATAAGACACCCCCAAAGGGCGTGGTAAACAAGAAGCAAAGAGGGGGGGAGCTCCACTCTTGCATGCGACAGATAAGACTGGGCGGCTCAATCTCAGCCCGTAATCTGCAGAGTCCTTGTCAAGGGGTCAAGGCGTCAACCTGTTCTAATCCGTCATCCAGTGCCATGTGGATTCCGTAAAACGTTGCCAATCCCTAATCCCCTTGAGTATGAGCAACAAGCCTAAGGGCAATTAGAGACGTGTACTCTTTGTCGCTCGATGCGCCTAGAGGGACTCCAGCCTAGGGCCTCTGGGTAAGAGACCACAAATTTACTACTAGACTATGGAAGCACCTCAGTCCAACTACGTTGCAAGTCCGAAAATTGAGAGCTTGCTTTGTTACAGCAAAACCCACCGCAGTCATGCTATGAAGTCGGAGATGTGCTTATACAAGTTAAATGGAAAGGGTCATGATCTTTAATTCTCCAAGCTGTAGGCGCATAAGGCCCTACGGATGTCATATTCAATAAACATCCGAAAACCCCTAATCCGTAAACGCATAATCAGCGAAGGTCCTGAGGATTCAGGATGAAATGGGAACCATCATAATCCGTAATCCCCCCCCCCCGAAAATGGAATGGAAACCATAATTATTACAATTGGCAATCCCCATATCTGCAAACGCATTATCCGTGAAGCCCTGAGGATGAGGATGGAAACCATCATAATCCGTAATCCACACATCCACAAACGCAGAATCTGTCAGGGGATGAAGCAAGGATGGAGATCCTCATAATCCATCATCCCCATCTGCAAACCGCAATCCGTAAAGCCTCTACGGATTAAGGACCCTATATAACCTGGATATATACCCTATTCATTATGTAGTAGTTTCCATTGTCTTCTCCATCATCCCTACATAACCCTTATATGACCCCTATATAACCCCTATAATTCCTATAGTTTCCATCTCATTTTCCATTACCCCTAAATAGCCCCAATATACGATTCTTCAGAAACTGCCCATGTCTAAGAGCCAGACTGGAGGAGCGAATGCGACCTCAATGATGGCGAGGCTAAACCCTAGTAGCTTCCATTTTCTTTTCCATTATCCTGAAATAACCCCAATATACTATAGTAGCTTCCATTTCATTTTCCATTATCCCAAAATAACCCCAATCTAACCCTAATATTGCGCTGGGTTGAGAAAGTCGGAATTGCGTCTTGGTGTGTGTGTGTGTCTTTAAGATATAGCTTGTACAGTATAGCCAGTACTAATATGGCTTCTGGACAGGTCTGCAAGTGAAGGGAAGATAAAGGTGAATGGTTCAGCGAAGATTGATGCTGCTGCAGGGAAGCTTGTGATGATGGCGAGAATGAGAATGATGGGGAGCAACTGCATTCTCATCATCATTATCACCGCGATTACAAGTGGCGTTCGACTGAGCTGCTGGCTCGCAAGAACTCCCATTGCAGGCCAGGGTCGATCTCCGGCGAGTTCAGAATTGGCTCCTGGTCACATCTACACATTTGCTCGGGATCAGGCTGGGAAGACCCCCTTTCAGTAAGGGCAGAGACCTGTGCAGGTTACAAATCTCAGCTCCTCCATGACGGAAGTCAGAGTGTCCAGGGATGTAGGCCCGGAGAGTGTGTAACCCTCAGAATGCAGCAGCTTTGGCAAAAACTATGACACAATGCCCTTACACAAGCTGGGGTCGGGACGGGGAAGTCCTGTGGAGAGGCTGTTGGCAGCCTCATGCCTTGGGCGCACAAACTACAAACTCTCTGCACTCCTCTTCCTGTACACAGGTGCCAGAAAACTGGGCCAGAAGCAGCAGATGGTCACCTCAGTATCCCTGCCGGCTAGCAAAGACTGGCCTGTCCGAACCTCAGATTCAAGAAGCAAGCTATTAGAGTCAGGTGCAGCATCTCCAGCCAAGTGCAAGGCTGTTAGTCTCAAGAGCCTACTATTGAGATTATACCTGGCATGGATGTGCAAGGTCAGCAAGACTCAGCAAAACTTGCGGATGGCATTTTCCCTACAAGCTCACAAGAAGCACAGACAAAAAAGCCGGGTGTGCAGTGCGGGCGTGGTGAAGAGTGGATTCTGCTGTGTGTTGTAGCCTTAGATGTCGCAGACAGCGCATGCAATTAAGGGTATCTGTCACCATCAAGGCTGCCGTAAGGTGTCATTAGCTACACTCGGCCCACTCAGCTTGGGCCATCACCAAACAGTGGATCCACCCCAAGCGGCACCTGGCACAATGGCCATGTTCCCATCATGATCATCATTGATCATGATCATCATTGCCATCATAATCATCATCAGCAGCAGCGGCAGCAGCATGGGGATCAGCAACAGCGGAACCTGCATGTATTGCTGTTAGTGCTGTGGCCATACCTGATCGTTGCTACTGCGACAATGAACCTTTCAGCCCGCGTCACTGCTGCCAATCTTGCTGCTATCAAAAATGTCCCCACTGACAGCTTATATTGCAACGCTCCAGATAGCAGAAGGGGATTCCTCCTTTACAGTTTTCTTGAAACAGAGAACCCCGGCTTTTCGGAAACACCGCATTGATGCGTTGGCGCACCGTGTTGCCAGCCGTTATATCCAGGTCGCGGATGATAGCATTCCTCGATGCTGCATGCAGACATCTACATGCGCCTGTTCTGCTGGTGCTCCCACTTGGGCAGGTCGCCAACACGGACCATTACCAGAAAGTCTCATTGAATATGAGCTCGTGCCTTCCTGGGAAGCCGACGCAGTATTTGGCGTGCCAATCGCCTCGAACCCGACGAGATTGAAATCTATGTACCTCATGACTCGAGGCTTAGCTCGAGCCGTTTGAATGCTGGTGCAAACAGCAAATCTCTTCGTGCAAAGCGAATTCGCGCGTCATCAACTGCTGGGAACTTTGCGAGCTGAGGCCCCAGCTGCGTCTGCTGGATGCTGCTGGGCAGATCTCTGGACTGAGTTGCCAATTTACATGGGCAGTTTCTTGATGATTGTCCCTTTCTTTACCCTGCAAGCCCCACTGCCACCTTGAAAAGGGTACCCCACATCAGCCAGCCGAGGAGTTGGATCCGCACATGAGATCTTCTTGCATCTGAGAATGTGAGGCCCAGGCCGGTTGCAGTATGATGGTGATGTTGGCAATAGTCCTGTTTAGGGTTCAGGGTTTAGGATCTAGGGTTCAGGGTTTAGGGTCAGCAGGTCGGAAAGATTCCTTCACGAATACGGGGGCTTTAGTCATCCCAACCCCTAAGTCCTGTTTATGGAAACCATATGATAGTTCTCGGGTCCTCAGTACGAGGGTTCGGGTCACTAAAATCCCTTCAGTATTCACTGCTTGGAGGGTCAGGGGACTTTGCAAGTGCGCTCATAACCCTGTAAGCCATATAATAACCCCAACTGATCCTAATATTAACCTCCTTAAAGCGTCCGCATGCCCCTCCAAGTATCGCCAGACAGGGGAGATGCAGCCAAGGTGCCCTGGATACAGTGGGTTGTAGGCCAGCGTGGACACCACAAAGGTCTCAGCAGATGCAGTCTCCAGCAGTGTGGGTGTTTTCCGAAATTCTGGAGAATCAGATGGCAAAGACAACGGAACATGAAATGAGAACTGGGTGTCTATGCGGTTTATGGGATTGAGGGTTTCCCAAGAATAGGGGAACCAATTTGGGGGGTCAAAATAATAAGGATTATCATATATTGGTGTCTTTTTTGGTCCCCCTATGTATGGAAACCACCATCTCAACCACATGCCGATGAACCCCAAGCAATAAAACCCTAAAGCCTCCAGCGGCAACCATGCTCATATAAGATCCCCATTAAAATCTTATTCTTATGGGTTTATAGGGAGCGTATGGGAAGTATGTTCCATAATTGTGGACAAGCTCTGCCAGGAATACCCGACAACCATCCCAGGCAGCATCAGAGCGCTACAACAGACCGCTATGCAAAGAGGCTGAGGAGTTCACTGCAGGGCACAGCTCTGCGCGGTCCTCTGCTGAGAAGTCCTCTGAGGTACAGACCTTGGAGGGCAGTTCTCAGAAGAGGTAATAGCGTCTTGGGATCATAGAGGGCTTCGTCGGGATTCTTCCAGGGTTGAGGGTTCAGGCTCTTTCTGAAGATGGTGTGGCCTCTTTAGATCCCCTAAAGAAAGAAATCCGCAAAAGGATCGCACAGCCTACCTCACAGGTTCTTAAAGGAAGTGAGGGAATATACCCCCGTATCTGATCCCTGTACAATCTATTCCCTTATTCCCTAAATAGTAGTTTCCATTGTATTTTCTATTATCCCTAT